GGCGAAGAAGAAGTTAGGCGCCCCACATGTAACTCACCGTCCATTCTCATTTTCAATTTCACACTTATATTACTATTCATAGTCAAACTATGAATAGTAAATGATAAGTTACAGAAATAACCCCTGAACTATTTGTCACTTGCTAATTTTGGAGGCAACTTTTCCACAATCTCCACCTTGACGTCAAAATTAAGCAAGTCATGCTTTACGATTAGTCAAAACATATAGCTCATCAAACTCTAAAACTTCCATAAGAACCTGCAAATTTTATATAGAGAAAAAATTGTTTCCGAAAAATAAATAATACTTCCTCCACCACGAGCCTTCAGGCTCAACTGCGATCAGAAACACCCACCATGTCCAAACATAATTTGAACTTGGCTATAGGAAGACTTTTAGTGAACATATCAGCGGGATTATAATCTGTATGAATCTTGTCCACAACACAATCACCTTTTTCAATGATATCCCGCACAAAATGATAACGAATATCAATATGCTTTGTTCGGTCATAAAAACATTTGATCTTTACTCAAGAAGATAGCACTCTGGTTGTCACAGAAAACTGTGGTCACCTTTATTCTATCATCGAGTTCTCCAAATAACCCCTTCAACCAGATATCTTCCTTAACTGCTTCTGTAATCGCCATGTACTCTGCCTCGCTAGAAGACAGGGCAACTGTAGACTGTAACTGGGCTTTCCAACTAACAGCACAACCATTTAGAGTAAACACATACCCTGTAATTGATCTTCGTTTATCCAAATCTTTGCCATAATCTGAATCAACATATCCGAACACCCCAGTGTTAGATTTACCAAAACGTAAACACATAGAAGACGTACCACGTAAATAACGAAAAATCCACTGTACTGCTTTCCGGTGTTCTTTCCCCGGGTTCGCCATGTATCTACTAACCATGCTAACAGCATAAGCCAAATCAGGGCGCGTGCAGATCATAGCATACATCAAAGATCCAACAGCACTAGAGTATGGAACACGTGCCATGTAAGCCATATCAGTCTCATTAGTAGGACTCAAAGCGGATGATAGCTTGAAATGAGCTGCAAAAGGTGTGTTGACAGACTTTGCTTCGTGCATACTGAAGCGTCGTAGGACTTTCTCAATATAACTTTTCTGAGAAAGATGCAAGATCCTAGACTTCCTGTCACGAATAATTTCCATACCTAAAATCTTTTTGGCAGCTCCTAAGTCCTTCATTTCAAATTCAGCTTTCAACTGGTCTTTTAACTTCTGAATCTCCTTCATATCTTTCGCTGTAATCAACATGTCATCCACGTACAAGAGTAAGTAGATCTTTGAACCATTGTCACCTTTCTTGAAATAAACGCAGCTATCATAGGTGCACCTGCTGAATTTGTGACTGGTCATGAAAGAATCGAACCTCTTGTACCATTGTCTAGGAGACTGCTTGAGGCCATAAAGAGATTTGTTCAACTTGCATACGTAGTTCTCCTTTCCAGGAACTACAAAACCTTCAGGTTGTTGCATAAAAATCTCTTCCTCAAGCTCACCATTTAGGAAAGCTGTAGTGACATCAAGTTGTTCTAACTCAAAATCGTTAGAAGCAACCAACCCCAACAATACACGAATGGAAGTATGTTTGACAACTGGGGAATAAATGTCAGTGTAATCAATACCAGGAATCTGACTGTAGCCTTTAGCTACTAACCGAGCTTTGTATCTTGGTTTATCATTTGGGTTGACAGGTTCCTTGAGCTTGTAGACCCACTTGCATTTAACTGGTCTCTTCCCTTTCGGAATAGGAACTAAATTCCAAGTACTGTTTCGCTGCAAGGATTCCATCTCATTTTGCATAGCGAGCATCCAATCATTTGAGTCTTCAGATTTGATAGCCTCGTCATAATTTGCAGGCTCCGTTGCAGACTCAATATTATCAGCAACAATAAAAGCATAGGCAACCAAATCAGATTCAGCATACCTCTTCGGAGGAATAATCTGTCTTCTCGGTCTATCTCTTGCAATGCTTGGAGTAGTAGCTTGTGGTTGTGAAGGTGTTGAATCTTCACCAACAACATGCTCATCCGACGAAGAAGAATCTTGATGCTGATTTGTACTCTGATTAGTGGTAGGTGAAGTAGGAAGCTCCACCTCCATTTGAGCATTCTCTTTATTTGCTTCGGATGATACATCTGATGCATCTGTTCTTTTAGAAGAGTCAGCAACTGGTTGAAATATAGCAGACTCATCAAAAGTAACATCTCTTGAGATGATAATTTTCTTCAAATCAAAGCTCCATAACTTGTAACCCTTTACACCTTGATTGTACCCAAGAAAAACGCATTTGATTGCTCTTGGTTCTAGCTTCCCATTGTCAACTCGTGCATACGCTGGACATCCGAATGGTTTTAAATCTGAATAATTTGCAGGTTTACCGGACCATAATTCAAACGGATTTTCTTATCTATTGCTCGTGACGGTGATCGGTTGATAACATAGCAAGCAGTCGAAGCAGCCTCCGCCCAAAAAGACTTTGGCAATTTGGAATTAGAAAGCATACACCGGACCTTCTCCATAATGGTGCGATTCATCCTTTCAGCTACACCATTTTGTTGAGGTGAATGGACTACTGTGCGATGTCGAGTAATGCCTTCCTTTTGACAATAGACATTAAACTCTTCTGAGCAAAACTCAAGTCCATTATCCGTACGAAGATACTTTACCACCAGACCTGATTGCTTTTCAACCTGAACTTTCCAATTTCTGAAGGTAGAGAAAACGTCTCCTTTATTTTTTAAGAAGAAAGACCACACCTTCCTGGAGAAATCATCAATAATAGTGAGCATATAAATAGCTCCACCTTTTGAAGCAACTCGAGCCGGTCCCCACAAATCCGAGTGAACATAATCAAGTGGTCCTTTCGTTGTATGGATACCACTTGCAAACCTTACTCGTTTTGCCTTGCCATATACACAGTCTTCACAGAAATCCAAATCAACAATCTTTTGTTGACCAAGTAAACCTCTTCGACTCAATTCTGACATGCCTTGAAAACTCATATGGCCGAGTCGAAGGTGCCAAAGACGGGACTGATCTGGATCAGAAAGAGACTTTGAAACAACAGCAGCATCACTCGAAATTGTTTGCCCGTCAAGAAAGTAAAGATCTGAGGTTTTTCGTTTGGCTCTCAGTTTGTCGGAACCGTCTTTGAATACCCTGAGAACTCCACCTTTACCAGCAAACTCGTATCCCTTTTTGTCAAAGGAACTGAGAGATAACAAGTTTCTTCTGAGGTCAGGAACATATCTAACATCCCCCATGGTTCGTAACTCCGTCAAACATACGGATCCTGACTGAACCATGTCCAAGAACTGGACATGTAGTATTGTTACCCATCAACACATAGCCCTGGTTAACCTTTTCAAATGTGTAAAACCAACTTTTGTTGTGACACATATGAAAAGTACAACCAGAGTCGAGTATCCAATCACCAGTGGAATCCAGTTTATCTGAATAAACTGTCAAAAGTTCTCCAATACCTTCGACCTCAGCTAGATCGGCTTCACCCGAAGTGCTAGCTTGTTTACCATTTGCTGCCGTCTTCTCTTTTTCTTTGTTCTTCAACTTGAAGCATTCTTCAAGCACATGTCCCTTCTTGTGACAATAGTTGCAAAACTTTCGTTTGCCTTTTGACTTGGATCTGGTTCTGTTGGAAGATTGAGAAGTTCTACTTCTCTCTGTTGTTCTTCCTCTGGCATTCAAACCTTCGGCTTTAGCATCACTTGAACCACCACCAGTAATATGCTTCATCTTCTCTTTGGAATCCAAAGCTGTATAGACTTCATCTAAAACTAGAGTGTCACGGCTATAGATAATAGTATCACGAAAATGGCTATAGGATTCTGGCAACGACGATAGTAAGAATAGAGCCAAGTCTTCATCTTCATACTGAACATCCATATTCTCTAAGTTATTTACTAACTCTTTAAATGTGGATATATGTTCAGTTAAAGAGCCTCCTTCAATCATCTTGAGATTGAACAACCGTTGCTTCAAATGCAACTTGTTTGGTAAGCTCTTGGTCATCAACAGTTGCTCCAACTTTAGCCATAAAGAAGCCGCTGACGTTTCTTTTAGAACATCTTGCAAAACATCGTTTGACAAGTGCAAACGAATCTGGGATAAAGCCTTCAGATCTTTCATCTCCTTTTCTTTTTCGGTCCATGTATCGGGCATCAAATTGAAACCCAAGAGCGCCTTGTGTAAATCCATCTGAATGAGAATGTCTCTCATCTTTACTTGCCACAACGGAAATCGGGTGTTACGATCCAGTAGTGGAATATCGTATTTTACCGAAGACATGATTAATTACTTGATAAAATGATCCCAACGAGCTAATATCACAACCTGGATGCTCTGATACCAATTGTTGTAAAATACGACGGATCCAAATTGACTTAAATAATATTAGCTCAATGCGGAATGGGATCAAAAATTATCAAAGCGTAATAATCACAACGAAATACGAATAAAATAAATAGAATAGAGACACAGGAATTTACGTGGAAACCCAAATCGGGAAAAAACCACGGGCGGAGGAAGCCGAGAAACAATTCACTATAATTTGCAGTGTTTACAGGGATTATGAAAGAGATTACAAATAGAGTGGGAGAGCTAAAATATACGGTGGTGTATCAATATATATATATATATATATATATATATATATATATATATATATATTTGATTTGGTTCGTGGGTTTTTTTTCAAGCCTTCTGGCTTAGGCTATTTATAGCCAAAAGAAAACATATGAAAAGGAAAGAAAAAAGCCGTCCATAATTGTAGGCGAAGAAGAAGTTAGGCGCCCCACATGTAACTCACCGTCCATTCTCATTTTCAATTTCACACTTATATTACTATTCATAGTCAAACTATGAATAGTAAATGATAAGTTACAGAAATAACCCCTGAACTATTTGTCACTTGCTAATTTTGGAGGCAACTTTTCCACACTGAGTATGTGTGATCAAAGGGCAAGAATGTTGCAAGATCAATTTAGGGTTAGTGTAAATCATGTACATGCTCTGGGTGTTCTGGTGTCGACTTTTCATTATTACACGAACCCATCAGTAATCGATCAGGTTTGAACATTATTAATGTGTGTTTGTTTATCTTTTTTCTTCTTTTTGTGATTGAATTTGTTGTTTTTTCGAATCCAGGAAACATTTGCAGAATACACAGCAAGAACAGCATTCGAGCGACCTTTGTTGAGTGGAGTTGCATATGCACAAAGGGTAATGAATTACGAGAGAGAAGACCTTCAGAGACAACATGATGGGACCATAAGAACAATGACGAAAGAGCCCTCCCCATTTCATGACGAATATGCCCCTGTAATTTTCGCTCAAGAAACAGTTTCCTATCTTAAATTGGTAGATATGATGTCTGGCGAGGTATGTTTTTTTATACTTATTTTAATAATTATATTTCATAATTGTTTGTTATATGGGTATAAAAATATAAAATATATACCCTTCGAAGTTAAATTTAAGAAACTCGAATTTGATGATAGGAGGACAAAGAGAACATATTGAGGGCTAGACCAACTGGGAAATACGTGCTCACAAGCCCTTTCAAGCTTCTGGGTTCTAATCATCTAGGGGTAGTTTTGACATTTCCTGTGTACAAATCAAAGCTTCCACCAAATGCATCTGTTCAAGAACGCATCGCAGCTATTGCCGGGTAAAATTCGGGTTATTTTTTTTTTCCCATTAACAAGTTCCGGTAAGGTGACCATTTTACCCTTACAATCCTTATTCACAAATATGCATCAATTTTAATAATATTTATCCGTTTTAACGTGAGCGCAATTAAAAAAAAGGGCAAATAGGAAAAGGGTTAGTGACGGAATACAATAAACAAAGTTTTTTTTTTTTTTGACTTAATCCGTTAAGTCATTCGGTCCTGACTAAGTAAAAAAAACAGCCATATATACTTGCCAGATTAAGTGCTTAACGCATTGAGTTAAAAAGAAATAAAGCTGACTTATGTTTTTTTGTTAGCGTCCCACATTGGTTAGAAATACGGTGCAATTTGTATATGTTGGAGTCTATCCTCTTTTTTAGTGCTTTTTTGGAGAGAAAATCATATATCTATAATTTTTTTTTTTTTTTTGGGATAAACATAAACAGATATCTTGGTGCAGATTTTGATGTTCAGTCACCATTAGAAAATTTACTTTTGTATTTGTTTGTTGTTTTTTCTTTGTGTGGTGCAGGAAGTGGAACAAGAACTGAATACATGGGAAGGTTGTGGGTTACATCTTTCTTTAAACGAAATCTTTATAGCTTTGCAGGCAGTGACAGTTTTACCTGATTCAATGGCAATCTCAGCCAGGTAAAAAATTTGATCTTTTAAACATTTATAATAAATCAATTAAGGAGCATACAGTTAATGAAGTAATGAACATATTAGGAAAAAAATGGCGATTTGGATTTCGCTGCAATAGTTCTAGCTCAGGCTTGATGTGTGTTGGGTAAGAAAACTCTTATTCTAAGAATTAACCATATGTCGAGTATGTACGATGTTCTATTGCTGACCTTTTTTTTTAGAAATACTTATGACGTCTTGCGTTTATTATTTATACAACAAATTTTGGTTGAAAACCTTTTTTTGTAGATTACCTGGAGGATGTATTTGAGAATTTCAAAAATGCTAAAACTGTCTCGCACAGTACATACATAGATTTATGCGTCCAGTTCTTTCTAATTATTTTTTGTTTCTTACCATTTCATATAATATAACATGTCGAATACCTTACGTGTACGTTGACTTGGACAACTTTTGTGATGCGTTGATCTCCATTAAACAAGACCACAACTACTCATGGCTGATAAGTGAACAAAACCACACTCTTGAGAATATGCAGCTTACCCTGCTCCATGGCTCTATCTTTTATGAATAATTTGTGATGAGTCATTGGTCTATCTTTTTCTCGGTGGAGAAGAACACCATGACACCTGCGATGGAACCCTTAGCAGTTTGTTTGCAGTTGTCCAAATAATATCATTTTTATTTTTGGAACCCTTAGCAGTTTGTTTACAGTTGTTCAAATAATATCATTTTTACTAAAATAGACTATTGGATGCATGATTTATTAAAATTTGTTCCTTATGATGCAAATTTTGTAATGGTTAGTGGGGTTTAATACTTTTGTGTTTACTAAAATAGACAAGGGAAAACTAATATAGTTTATGTTTATTTCTGTCAAATGTACAATATTTTTCCCCTCGGTTCTGTAAAAGGCCCCAAATCGAATTCGTGGCTGTTATTGATTTGGGGCCTTCGATTCTACAAGTGCTTTTCTCTATTTCACCATAAATGATTCAAAATTAAAATAGGTCGATTTGAATTCGATTCATTCAAGCATTAGAAAATAAATTCAGTTGTTTAGTTATTCAAGATTAATAAATTCAAATATTTTAGTAAACAAATAATACTAAGTCAATAAAAAAAATATTTTTCCCGCTCAATATTTTTCCGTTCTTTCTTATATTCTCATTGCAGCTAACAGTTTGCAATTTTAGAGAAAAATATCAAATCTTTCTTTTGCTACATATATACAACTGCATCTTTTAGCCCGAATGGTTACGAAAGCACTAACATGGAGCCAAAATCAATCGTAGATCGAAGATGGCGAAGAGCTGTATTCAAAATCTTTCTTTTGCTACATATATACAACTGCATCTTTTAGCCCAAATGGTTACGAAAGCACTAACATGGAGCCAAAATCAATCGTAGATCGAAGATGGTGAAGAGCTGTATTCAAAATCAGTGGCTCTGCAGTTCCATCCCATCAACCAAAGGATAAACCCATGAAGTATATATTTCGATAAATAGCTTATCCGACAACAAAAAAATTATCCATGACGAAACAATATTACTACCCATAACAATACTCAAACTATAAACAAATAATTGATCAAATAACATTTACAAAGAACAAACAACGGAAAAAATTATCGCATCCGACCCCCGCAACGTGGGGGTTCCCCACCTAGTTATTATATTAAAGTTTATCATCTTTATACAATATATAAAATGATTAAAGATAATGAAAATCACCATTATAGTTTTAGGCTTTATTCACTACTACAAAAAGGTTCATAAGACCCGCTTCATAGGACCCGGTTGATGAAATAAACGGGTTATATCATGTAAAAACCGGGTTTTATAATGGGAAAGATTATATGACCCGTCTGAAGGTAAGGAACCGGGCCATATGTACTCCTTAAATAACCCGGATTCTAGAGAAACAAACGGGACTTTTAATTTTACAGTAATATGTTCCGGTTTATAGAATACAACCGAGTTTTATGAGTAGGCGCCACAAATTATGAAAGGATTATAGGACCCACTTTCTAACGACCAATTTTTTTGACATATGAGTTATGGAAACATCATAGTTATAGGTCTAATTGTGTATTCAAGCCAATAAAGTTGATAGATATACCGTGAACCTCAAAGCTAATTTCAAATAATAACTAGATGCTCAAACTCGACCTAGCCTTAATTATTTTAGTTAAAACTTGTTAAAGAAATCATTAGTTTCAAGCTTGGATCCATTATGTATTAACAAATGCAAAAATGTACTTTTTCAGAGAGAAGCAAAATAAGAATACTTTTAAAATTTATTTAAAAAAAAAATAATTGAAATAGACTTAAATTCAAAATCATTTAAATGAAAACTACCATGAATATGCACTTTAGCCGATAACATTAACATGTAAATACTAAGAACCCTGAGCCCACAAAATCAACATCAACTTTGTTCTTGAAGTTTCAATTGTTTCTTTTATCAGATCCTAATAATGAAATAAGATAACATGCAAGAAAAATTATGATTGGCTGATTACATCAATAAAAACACCAAAGCTATGCATGATTGTTTAGGCATTACATCTTTTGCTCAAATATGATTAGGGGCATTTGTGTCATTCACACAAAAAACATTAAAACCAACAAGGTCTAGCAAGACTTCAAACTTATCTTTCATTTGTCTAAGAACTCCAACTAGCTTGATGTCTTCTGGTGTTGACTCTTTTTGAAGCTACCAGCAGCAACAAAAATGCAAAAGTATATATTTAAACTCATATACAAAGTATTAAATATAAACAAACAAGCTCTAGAAGATACAACATATGTACTTTGACGATCCATATCTTATTTTGGTGCTTCATTTAATTATTAAACACAGAATATTAACAAGAGTTAAATCTAAGAAATAGTAATGTACTTTCATATATTTGTTTATTATTGTATCATAATTCTATTTTTTTGTATTATAGCATTGTACTATGAAGCATCTTCCCAATTATACCAATGTCATAAGTATACAAATATATTATGTTGCTATATTTAGGTATATTTTTCAAAGAATAATGTTCTAATAGGAAAATAATGGAAGTTCAATGCTAAAAATTGTACTATAAATGACAAGACATAGATATTACAACAACCAAGAGGTATATACTTTCATATGCTTATTATAGCACCTTCCTTTCATTGCATCCAATTGTGACATTGTACTTTGTAGTATCTACCATATTAAAGCAATGACATCCAAAATAAAATATTATTATTGTTAGAATCGGGTATATCTTTCAAACTAATATGTCTATAAAAAATGACAATACAATGACATAATTGGATTAGATTATTCAAAGTACATCTAACAACTTAGTAATGTCAGCTTAAGAAAATAAGTGCTCTTTCACACACAAACACACAACACAAACAGTTATATGTGTTTTATTTTATAAGGAGCATAAGCAAAACAAAGCCATTATGTGCTATAAGTTCAAGATAGATTGGACAAGAAGTGAATATATATACTTTTAAACCATCCAAAGCAGGAGAAGAGCAAACAGCATGAGGAGGGCCAAATGATACCTTGGGGCAGAGGCCTGTTTACAAGGGAGGGGAAATGAAAAACCAGTTAATCTAAATCTTATTTTTTTGCCTTCGTTTCCTAACAGCAAAAGAAACTCAAACTGATGTAATCAAACTTCAAGAATCAAGTCAAGTCAAATCCGTCACGAAATTGTAGCATGGTAGAAATTCAATAATCAAGTAATTCATAACACCACATAAATTCAATAATCAAATGTCCCTAAGCATCACAATTCGTCATTATCAAATTCACTACTCATCATTTATAATGACCCACCCCGAAAAAACTACTTATAAAATTGAATGCAGTTAAAATCAATTATGATTATTTTTCAGCAAAATCTAGGTGTAATCTAAAGTAAGATCATGTAACGCACAATTGCAAAATACATACAGAAAAACGATGAAATTAAGTGCACCTTTGTCAAGTAAACCCAAAAAACAGAGAAATTCATAATTTAACATCAATTTAACAAAATTAAAACATACTTACTTTATCGCCAATGAGAATGATTTAGAATTTTAACTTTTGAATTTGAATTTCATATGATCAAAATGAAAAACGTGAAATACCTATTATGCAGCCAACCAATATCAGTCTTGCTTTTTCAATAATCCTTCTAAGGAACGCATGGGGCTGCAATTCTTTAACTCTTTTTGGCAGAGATGAGAATTTGATAGGGTTTAACCTGTTCGATTTACATTTTCTTGGTATAAGACTATTTTTTTATATATCTAAGTTTTTTGTGGGAGGATAAGGTAAAATCAAAACACAAGTGAAATAGGCAAGGATTTACGTGCGTATATGTATACTCTGAGTCGGAGGGAATGCAAATTTCATTGGCGGGATCGGCGGGAAGAAGAAATTAGTTTTGGAGGGAAAAGTAATATTGGTTAATTTGTTACATGTATTCAATAAAATAAGTTTTGTGTATTTAATAATTATATTATTCATCAAATATGTGATGATATTTTGTACACTCTTTTGAGTCTTTAACTTTTATATTGTTTTTTTATTTTTTTTCTTTTGATATATCACATGACTTTTTGTTGAAACTTATTGAATCATAAAAACAAATTAATTGAAAATAATAAGGATCAGTAATCGGTTGTCTATAATTTATAAGGATTAAGGACATTTAGGAAGATGTTACATATCATATAAAAATGTGACAGATTAAATTGAGAGTGGACATTAGAGTTTTGTGTGACAAAAATGTCTCTTTAGAGGTTAAAGGAAATTTTGATAGGGTGGTTGTAAGATGAGTTATATTGTATAGATTTGAATGTCAGCCAATTAAGAAGAAGCATGAAAGGAAGATGTGTGTCACATAAATAAAAACGCTACAGTGGATATGTGGTATAACCCCGTTGGGTTGGTTTCCGAACTCAACAATCATAAACTCGTTATGATGGTGGACAAAATACATTGTTAGAGGAGGAGAATTCACCCGCTATGGAACTATATAAATAGGGTGGTGTTAGACTTAAAGGATTTGGGTCTTTCCGAGGACAAGGTCGGTGTGGAGGTATAAGTGATGGGTTTTCTAGGTTATAAAATTACATATGAGCGGAAAAAAACACTTAACCCTTAATTTCACATGCAACCTAGATTGGATCTATGTTTTCTCTATTGATAGCAATAAACAATGAATATCAAGAAACCCTATATGGAGTCTATAAAAATCGAAATCTACATATAGTTAGGGTTTACATACCTTTTGATTATTATAGAAAATAATCAAATCAAAATCCTCTTAGAGTTCCTTGGAAAGCAAGCACCAAGAAGTTGAATGCCTCTAATAGCATGTACCCGAAACCCAAATACCCAAACTACTCATAGGTCAACCTTGGTCAAAAGTTCAAAGTCAACAAACTAGCTGAGTCAACCCGACCAAGTACGTTGGACGTTCCCAACTGACCGCGAGGCGTACTCCCCTTGACCAAAAAGTTGGGGCTTGACCGCGTACACGCAACATACCATTTGGTACGCCCAACGTACGCACATGATCACCTCCACTTCTTATTAAGAGCTTAATACTTCAAGACCTTACGTCAAAATCCAGATCTAAGACAAAAATAACATTACAAGTCCTATAGTTTCCAACTTCATGACTTTGTATGGCTAAAAGTTGTAACATCCCGACTCCCAGGTATACTATTTATTTATTTATTTATGGGTTAATTGAGCAA